ACTGCCATCTTTCCGCATCAATATTTAGAGAAGAACAAGGTGTTTATCTGCAATTGTTCTCTAGTCCTGCAGTCACACTCAATTGCCTATATACTTTTCCTTCAGAGCAGGCATATGTTTGGGACTTTAAAGACTTAGGCTTTAAAAAGGAAAAGATTGGCAGCCATCAGTCCAAATAGTTGTTTGCTCTGTTCAGAGGGATGCGGAAAAGTGTTTCCAAGCTTGAGTTAAAACTCAGGAGGACTCTGTTTTCATGTGACTCAAGAGTACCAGGCAAGAATAAAAAATGTAGATGAATAGGACATTCTCTTGTCTACTGTCTGAAAGTGTGGGGAGGTTTATGCAGACACAGGCATACAGGGCTGATTTCCAGAGCTGCAGAGTACCTGTAAATTCCATTTGCAATCAGTGGGATTCTGAATGCTCATCACCTTTTCTGTCTCAGATTCACACAGAATGCACGTTGAAAAAATTATTTATTTACATAAAGTAGTGTGCCCAGGCACATCCACATGAATTACTTTACCACAGAGATGGCATCATATTTTCTTTAATACTATGAGTCAGGCACACATGAATATTTTACAGTAATTTACATCATAGTTCGAGGAAGACTTTGATTATTCTCTTTCATATAAGCAGTGAAAATAATGTGCAATGGATAGAATTACAAAACAGTAACAGTCAAAAAGGGAGGCTAAGAACGTATAAAATTTAGAGTGCCCAATATTTAAATTAAATGCTTGCAATGGCTGATAGTTTTTCTGTGCATTGTTTGCTTGCTACAGACTGTATATACAGTGTATGCTCAACATTTTCTTGTTTCATAAGCTTTATGCATGTGTGTTATCTTAATTCTGACTGTGCTAAAATATGTATTTAAATTCTAGTATGAAAATTTGAAAGATTATTTTCTGGAACTCCAAGATAGTAAAATCTTTACACTGGTGAAAGTACACCCAGTTTTATGAATGTCATTGTCTGCAATATGTGTTGTAGAAAGATACAGGTCTGAAACATAAGCCCATATACTACAGACCAGGTATGAGGCTTGAGGCCTAGACAGCAATGGTTAAGACTTTGCTTATATAAAGCAGAGTTAAGCTGTGAGCAAGAGGCAGGCCCTGCTCATAGAAGCTGGCAAGGGTTGATATTTCAGAAACACTCAGATCTAAAAGGTACTGGGCTCAGGCCATCAGCACATTCCAGAGGAGTCATAACAGAACACTTTGTTAAGAAACATCTTGGTACCAACACACATCCCACAGATAACATACATACTGACCCAGGTTCAGGAGAGGTTCTAAATTGACTGCATGATGCATAGTAATGGAAACCTCCCTTTTGTGAGGTAAAGGATGGTAACTAGGCAACAGAGGGTGGCAACCTGATATGTCAGAAGTGAGGTGTAACTTGTTTGTACCTGTGTATAAAAGTGCATCCCAAAGGGTGGTCACTGGTTCACCATGGGAGCAATGCTAAATCCAGAGAATTGATTGGGTGTTAGTCCATTGTCACTGTCAGGGCTGTTCCCTATTCTGGCACTTTGAGTGCAGAGGGTGAGGGCCCGCAAGAGAGCTTAAAAAACTTGCCTCTACAGGACTGGTTGCAAAAAACCTTCCTTCCTCTCTTCCCCCAAATCACAATACACAGAATTTGGAGGATCGCTGCCACCAATAAGTGATTTTTATCCCTAAAAAATCAGGAGTGAACATTTGAACCCACCCTCTGGGGTACCCCAAGCTCTTTTACCCTGAAAAAGCTTGAAAAAAGAAAAGAGGAAAACAAGCTGCAATCTCTAGTAGCTGACCTCTCAGTCTGAGGCATGCAGATACACACAGAACAGACAGACCTTCCAGGACATGAGAGTCAAATCATCACCTTAAAAAAAGTGATTTTTATTACAAAACAGAAGATAAACTTGTTAAAGCGTACTTGGTTGCTAGATGTTACAGAGCTACTAAGGAAAACAAATTAAAACACAGAGAAAAGTCTCTGGGCACAATGCTAGATGGTAAATGGGGAGAGGAGGCATAGATTCACACAGAGCAGTTCAAACCAAATCACAAAATAAATAAGAAATATCTTGAACACAACTAGATTCACTTGGCCCTTTTACTTACTTCCAGTCTTCTCTTTATTCAATCCACTTCCATGCCCCAAATTC